AATGAACCAATCGGAGATGGCAAACGTGTTAAATTAGAATACACCACGACGAATCGGAACAGTTCAGATTTAACAGCGGAAAACTAATAGTTAAAACTCAGAATAAAAATTTTTGTCATAAATTTGTTATCAACACACATACAGCTTCAATATCCGTAAACAAATTGTTAAGAATTTAGAAATATTCATTTTATAAACAAAAAAATAAAAAGTGAGAAATATCCGATTCGCTCACATCTCCAAAATTTCGAGATGTATCGGATATTTTTCCGTTTCTTGCTTATAGAACAAAGATTTTTAAGTTTTCCAAAATTTTTGTTTACTGTTATTGACACTGAATATGTATTAATAACAAATTTATTTAAAACATGTTTATTCTCAGTTCTAACTATTAGTTTTATGCTGTTAAATCTAAACTGATCCGACTCGCCTCGGCCTACCCTAATTGAATTGAACATTCCATATTTCCGAACAATATCTACGATCATAACACATCCAGCAGTCCTCTTTTTCTTTGCAAAACGATAACAATATTTTTCATTTAAATCAGATATAACAAATCCTACATAATACGCGTCGAGTAATTACAACGCCAATTATTTGTAGAACGTGTTATTTGCGTTCCATAACCTCAGAATATATCCCACACGAAGTACCGCGTAATCATAATAATCATCTGCATAAATCCCAAACGGCGCCGCTGTACGTACTATGTACATACGTTCCGGGTAACACCCAGGTGTTTCTATTTTCTTTCGCGATCCCTGCTTCATATGCGGAGGGACGTACCGATCTTTTACGATTAATGAATCCTGGCTAGAAGAAAAATATCAATTTTACGTAGACCGGGACTATTAGATCCCGCGTAATCGTAGGCTGGCGTACCTGCCGTGAGATAAGCGCTTCCTGCTCTCCAAGCCGAATTAGCACATCAACGTAATCCAATATGACTGCGACGCTTCCTTGGGTGTCTTTAAGCGCAGGACTCGTGAATCGTCTCGTTCCTCTTGTTCCGCTGATAATGTTACGACGAGCGGATGACCGGTCTAACCGATTCCGATCGCGAAAGACGTTCGTTAATGTAGGAAAACGAACGTGATCGTAGTTATGTAAATAGATGTAATTGGAGCCGCCATTCAGAAAAATTCAGGTAATTTATAACGCGCTACGCTGCGCCGACCAGTGTGATATGTTATACGTGTAAACGATCTTGGGTGTGGTAACCCTACGCGAATTCTAGTGGTTCTATCTGACAAGCCAGTTGAAATTAACACTAAAACTACCGAGCAGTTAAATTGACTTTTTGAAATTTCTCTAACAACTCTAAAAGTGCATCTGTTAAGACTTTAATTGATTTACAATTCAATTTACGTGATGATAAAACAAGTTCTTCAATAATTTCTCAGGGAAACATTCATCTTTTTAACTCCTTGACTTGTAATGTCGTGTCAAATTCGTGGTGAAGATTTGAAATAGAATTTAACAAATATAAATATTACTCAATTCATTCGAATTCGAATTAAATATTATTCCTCTGTTATCAATGATTATACTTTAAAGTAAACATAGAATATGATGCTTAGAATTCTCCTCGTGTTTTCAATAAATTATTAATAACAAAATAATTAGATCAGCCATAGTTCTAATAATTGCAAAAAGAAGATATCAAAAATGGATCACTTTGAGCCATCTGGTAGTTTTAGTGTTAAAGGATGGCTGGATTCGTTTGTTATTGATCTTGAATGTAAAGGGAGATTCCGGTACAAAAATTTCAAATAATCACTCGTGTTTGAAGAATGTGTATCCAAAAAAAAGTTTCAAAATTGTGAAAATTAATAGTTTTATGGACATTTGAGTCACTAACACTGCTAGTTGGACTTATCATCGCGTAAAACCTAAAACGTGTTTTTCGCTAAACACTGTTTTTCAAAGAGGAGGAACAAAGATTTCACAAACTAATAAACTGATTTGAATAATTTATTTTTTGATTAAAGAACATACTTTTCCACAGATATTGAACCTTTAGTGTCTTGTTCACATATTTAATAATTTGTATATGAGGAGAAATAGTGAAAAAGATGGAAAAAATATAATTTTTAATCTTAAAGAATCAGAAAAGACTTATAGTCGAAGAGCTAAAAGTTCCGAAGTTTTGGATAAATTTTCTGAGAAGTGCTAAATTATATCTTCTTTAGTTTATCAGAAAAAATCGTAAAGAATTCCTTTTCCGAGTTCTCTAGTTCGAAATTCCCTTTAAAGAACGTCATGATTTGTTATACAGCGTTTCAAACAAAGTGAACAAGGTTATTGTTAAAATGGAGTTCCGATAACCACTTACTCTATTGCATGTTATACAAGATCATGTCCACACTTACCTGAAACAGAAAAATGGAGAATGGTTAAGATACTTCAAAGTAATTAAAAACAAAACGTTAAATTTTTTTATTGTGTTATGCATGATCCTGCAAAAAGTAACTTTAACAAAATTCCTTCACAGCCATATAATACTATATATAAAAGGCATCTGACATAAGTCGTTGATGATGAAATATTCTATTCTTTGAAATACTGTCTCTTTATGTTTATTTGTTAATTTGATGAATTGAAAGTGGAATTTTTGAAAAATAGAAGTATTTATAACGTAAGAAGCAGTTTTTAATATTAAAGTGTGTCCTGGACAGCAAACTTATATTCTAACACAGATAACTATTGAAAAGTGGTTATAGAATAAATAATTCTTTCACATACTTTGTATATTTACATATACTACATTTTGTTTTACTTGTTTCTATTGAGAAATAAATGTTTATAACCATTGTAATGTAATTTAAAATTGCCAACTGGATCAAGCTCTAAACACTGTAAGTAGTCACTGTGGTCGCTGCATTATCTCATTTTCGTAATGTTCTATTATTTTCAACAGCTTGTACTTGGAAGATGTCATCATCAAAATTACTTTCTTTTAGTCCAAAATAGTACAAGGATTTTGCTCCTCCCGCTTTCATATTTAAAATTTTCCATACACTAAACAATTCTCAACAATTAAGTTTTTATTTAAGTATTTATTTAAGTATAATATTATTAGATTTTCTGAAACGTAAGAAGATATTTATGAGCATTAGCATTAAAACTACCGAGTAAGCAATAGAACTCATTGTTCTATATCTTTTTAGTCCTGATAAATGCACATTCACGGGCCGTTGAAAATTTGTTTGTTGTCTAGTGTTTCCAATGAATAAAAATAAAGCAGAATTGAATCGAAATCTGACCGGAATTTATAGTATGAACACATGCATTATAAACAACTGAGTATTTCATCGAACTGAATATGGACGGAGAATGAATCAAGAATTGACCGATATTGTGCATCAAGGTCTATAAAAATTATTCATATATATTTCAACTTGTATAGTATTAAATCAATTTATCGAATAATTGTTCAGAAAAACGTGTGTGTCTTGTCAGTAATAGTAAAAAAATAGAAATGGTAATTTTAATTCATCTTGTAGTTCTACTATTAAACTTGAATACAAAACAGACATCATTCATCATATAACTGTACACATAGTATAAATAAATATCGCAATATTATAATGAATCACTTATATTGTTATTCACATATCGTTAAAGTAGTGTTTTTACCAAGGAATTACGTAGATATTATTATATTATTATGCAACATCGTTAAATGTTACAAATTGAAATCATTGAATGCAATCGAATAACCAAGAACAATACAAAAATGCAATCTGTATTATTAAATATATATAATAACGGATGATATAGATACTTCCGTATCATCAATTTTGTTGAATATCTATTTTTGCACGTACAATAAACCAAAATTATGAGTACTAAAGAATTTGAAAACTGATAACATTTGTCAACTGTCGTAAATAATAATAACAGAAGCATACTTTAAAAGGTGTTAGAAAGAAAACATACGAAAAAGTAATTTACACAATTTCATATTAACTCTGCCCCAATAATACTGTTTCTCAACCAACGTAATCAACAATATTGACCTTTTATGGTGAGACTTCATTTTTTATTGTTGCGAGTTTTGTTAAAATCTAAAAATATGTTACAATACTTATAGTCGCTAATTTGACATACAAAATGATATATAAGAATCGTGGTGAAGTTACGAGAAAATGAAATTTTCAACTTTCAATTTTCAATAAATATTCAAATATCTCCACACAGATGCAAAACAGAATAAATTAAAATAAAATTTCATTTTCATATAAGTTGTTTACATTAGATGTGGAAGTAAAGTAAATTATTTATTGTCCGTTACCAAACAGAAATGCTCTCGGTCGAAAATCATTCATTGGATTCCTTTAGAATTATAATTATTTAACAAATTATTATTTGTTATATTAGCTAGATAAATATAAATATTTTTATGATGACAATAAAAACTTGTACGATTTGTATATTTTATATTAACCCTTTCGTTCTCATTGTACACATACGACTAAATACCATACATATAAAAGTATACAATAAAATATTCTTAGCGTGTATTTATTCATATTCCAAAATATTTAATAACTTCCTTTTGCTTTATTTGTCTAGCATAACAAAAATTCTAGTATCTATTTAATTAAAACCTTGTTAGTAAAGCAGAACAGAAATATCGAATTCCTTACACTAAATCGAATTTAATAAAGATAACAATTAAAAATGAAAATAAAAATTCGTAAACCCATACTTTATTCCAATCACATAAGTATGATTGACTAATCCAATATGAAACAAATAAATATACCAACCAACAATATAAATTACTATATTTATATATAATCGTAGTCAAAATAGGCCGTAGTTATGGATCAATAAAATAAAAGTAGCAATTAACAGTTTTCAAGTATAAAAATTCACTTTTAAATATTTATAAATCATATTATAACGACGAAAAAAAACAGATTTGTTTAAATAGTGAAACGATTTAGGAACGTCGGTGTTAAGAAAGGATTTAAAATGTCCGCCATGAAGAATAGATTCGATCGTAGCGCCAAAACGTATAACATCTCGTGACCCAGTGCAGTGATCTCGCAAACCTCTTGGTACACGTTTGTTTCGTAATGTATGTGATCAATGAGTGTGTATTCTTTATTTGGATGGTAACCACGCGTAGAGTTGAAGTCAGATACAGTGGCCTGAACAAAAACACGTGCAACGAATAATTACGTCTTACGGAGTGCGACGTTTGAGATTCATCGCGTTGTTGTGTGAAATTCCTCGAAACCCAAGTCTTCTGCGCATGCGACGGAAATCGAGTAACAGCGCAGACGCCATGGTATCAATAAAATAGGTTTAATAATATTACAAAAAATATGGTAAATAACGTTTGTTAGTTCAAATCTATTTAGCAAAAAAGTGTAACAAACTATTCTCTAATGAATATTATCTTTACAACTGTAAAATAAGTCGTTAAAATTCTATTAATAGCAATGAAATTTAAGAAAAATATATATAATCAATTTAGAACTAGATCAAGTATTTTAAAAATCTTTAAATGTGAGTTTTGCTGTACAACGAAATTAAATGCACATTTCCAACACAAGTGTTAATAACACTGAGTATCATTAATTAATTATCATTAATTTACGTAAATAAAAACGATTTACAAACTATACATTAGTAGATTTGTAAACAAATTGGATAATATGAAATTCATTTATGGTCATTAAAAAAATGCCTTTAGAAATATCACCTTACTTATTGCAGAATAAGGATTTTATTGTTTCATTAAATGTGACTAATTATTTAAATAAAATTTTTTTTAATGATAAAACATTTGAAAACTTTTTAAAGAATGATTAAAAAGATTATAAAGTAGTAGTAAATATATAACATTATTTCGTAATAAAAAAAAGTAAATTTGATTCTAAAATAACAAGTTTAATATCCATTATCCAATCCAACTTCATTGTTTCATGCTACAAGTTTTTAAATAAATAAATTGTGCGTGCAATTATATGAAAACAATAAACCCTTCTTCTTTACTTAGGGAACAACCCAACAAAACGTATATTAAGAACATTTATTTAATATAATAACGAAATATAGACTTACAAAATAGTTTTGTAATGTCTGTTATTAAAATAAAATTTGTCATTGTATTCGTGTTAAATTATATTATTTGTTTCTATTATTTATTAAATTTCGTTATTGATTAAATATATTGATTTAATTCCATTTTTTCGTTATTAATTGTGTCATCAGATTTTCTTATTTTTAGAGACAATACAAATCAGACGTTTTCAACAAGCAGAATTTCAAACGAAAAAAAGAAAATATTTTCGATGCTTGTTACTTTTTGACTTTAATCGAGAACTGAAGAGTCTCTGTAGAAAATCTATAGTGAAGACTATTAATTCTACTCAGCATTGTTTAAAAGAAGAACCTCTCTCCATCTAAATGCATATTTTTTGAAATACCTCTAAGCATTAAACACGTTCTGATAAATTGCCCCTGTTTCTCCTCTAAAAGAAATAACTGTAACATTAAACATGATATGAAAACAAACGATCTAAATAATCCGAATAGTATCCATAATGTGCTTAAGTTGTTCAGTCAAATTAATCTACTAAATTCATTTAGTTGACATATTTAAATACTACAAAAAATTTGTAGGACATTGTTCCTTACATATTCAGCTATCTCAAGCAGCAACAATTTTTCGGTTTAGGTAAAATTTTCGAAATGTCTTGACATGCGTTTAATCATGTACGAGAAGCTGTAGCCTATTTCTTTGAAAATCGTAAACGGAAAATCGCGATGAAGACATTGAACAGTTACCTGCCAGTGCAGGTGAAATAGAAATTTGGAGAATTTGCATTGGGCTATATCTCCACGTCTTGTGTTTCGTTAATTGCCCTGAAAGTCGTGTACAAAGTTGGAAATATGATGACAGAGTTAAATGATCTCACCAGTATCCAGAATGCGTTTAAGCTTTTCAGATAAATTGATCTTCTAAATTCATTATAATGAATATATGTCTGTTCCGTAAATCTTGTATTATTATTTCTATAACTAATATATTATTATACAGTAAGTCATTATTCAGTAAGTATTATTAAGAAACAAGCAATGTATCCAAATGTTGGTCCCTAGTGGTTTTACTTTTAATGTGACCAACTTAAAATAAACTCAAATTAAAAAAGAAAGAGAGGTCTTTCGTTATATGTTTTGTTCGTAGTTTTGATTGGTTAGGTGTAACTCCATTGGCGGATAGCAAATTAGTATCGAAAATGAAATGAGAAAAGCAGAAAGCTGACCGGTGAGATCCGCATTCTTTCCAGGGCTGTTTCCCCGAATAACACTGAGCGGAAATTCTACAAATTCTGATTCCAATGAATAAAGTTTTACTTGCAATTAAAAATTTAACGATGATATCTCGACAGGAAAAGAAAAACTGTCGAATAACGTATAACATTTAACAGAAACAAAATTTAATTTAACAAGAAAGAATTTTTTCACAATTCGTGAGCACAAAAGGATGTGCTAAAATGATTTTCCATTAGCTGGTCGAATTGAATCCCGTTAACCTTGACATTTTGTGCACCTCTCTCTACGTATTTATTTTAGAAAGGCATTTTAAAAATCACTGCGAGGAACCTGTGATCCGACCAAACCAACTGTTTGCGATTCGAATGATCGCTACACAAATGAAATAATATTAGTATAATTAAAAATCGTAGAAATAATGTCTATAAAATGCACAAAGATTTGTACAAAATATTACAATTTGTAAAATATAATTTTATGTTACGGGTCGTATGTTTTACATAACAAATTTAATTGGCTGAAGGTAGTTCTGGCTTAAAATAGAAATAATTTCATATAGATTCCGTTGTTCTTTTGTTAAAAATATGTAAATTTTAAAATATTATAATTAATATTATAACATAGTAACATGCAAGGTATGTGCATATTATTTTTAATATATAGTGATTTATATTTACAATTAAATTTACAATACACGTTAAGACATATAGATGAAGAAAAATATTAATCAAAACTAGTTCCTTAGATAAAAGAAAATATAAAAGGTAAAACCATTGTTTTATTGTAGTATAATCATTCTAAAATAGTTTGTTACATGTTATGAAAACGTATACAAAAAAGTATCATTAATATAATCTATAAATACCTATGTGATATTTAATTTCAGTATACAGTGAACATTAGATAATTTCAACATCGTCATTCCCACTACATCCTCGCCAGGTTCCTTTTAACAGACCATAGCGCTGGACAATCAACCAGGTTGAATGGTGTAACACGATTAGATTATTGTCAAACTCAGCGATTTCAACGTCTTTTTCTTTTCCATTCGTAGTCCATTTCTATATTCGAATACCGTGTTTCGTGTAATTTTAATTAGCAAAATATAAGAAACATGATGGTAAAGGTTTCATTCATCAAAAGTCAAAAATAAAGAAATTTAATTTTTGAATTAAAGCCTCAAGCTCATCGCGAGCCTTTAATGTTGCCGAACACTTTGACTCTCATCCTTTCTTTTTCCTCCACTTACGTTAT